TACGAAACAAAAAAGTAAAGAACCAAGAGGTAATCACTAGCTATAAGAATATTTCCCTGAGAACAGAATCAATGTTTAATGAAAATTAAATTATGTTGAAAATCATAAAACATTGCATCTTTCCTGTTCAGATTTCTACCTAGAAAGATAAATCTGTTACAGATTTTACAGTGCAGCCATGAGATAGCTAAAAACTTATAAAAATTACCCAAGATTTCTATACAGATCCAGTTTGATGCTAAAAATGAAACAGACAAGATTTTGGGTGTAGAAGTTGTTTTCTGAAAGGCATTTAAAAAGATTCCACTACTCCTTATAAACTCTGCCTCCCCAACATAATTATCAACAATCTTTTATTGCATCTGCAATGATATACCGTAAAATATGCCATGTGTGAAACTGAGAAACATGGTTCAGGCTGCCATATGCAAACCTGTGCTGAAGGCACACAGGAGAAGCTGGAGGGAAAATTCATGTAACAGGTAGCCTCATCAGGTCATCTGAAAGGTTAAGAAAGGCTAACTAAGAAGTTCAGCCTTCCACTCTAATAAATTCTATTTGTAATCAATGAAACACACAAAACAATTTTAATCTAGCCACCAAGCATACTAATAAGCTTTACAAAAATTACTTCAGTCTTTCTGTATCTCTATGAATGACTTACTCCCACTTCTACACAGGAAAGCTGAGCAATCACACGCAAGACAAGGAATTTGAACCTGTCTGAACCGCACACAAGTGGAGTGGTTTTGCTGCAGTACCCTCTGAATCAATAATTTTCAAGGTCTTGTCTGATTTTGACCACTATCAATCTCCAGCTCTCCACATTTGCCAGGCATTTCTCTGTGTCGCAGAACATTTAAATCGAGAGAGTTCTACTGTGTTATGTTACAGTTGACTATTTCACACTATTGTTTCCACCATTCATTGAAAGTTTGAAGGAAGTTATTTTTTATGTCCTTTGAAGCTGTTATTTTAAGCCAAGTTGACAGTGTTCATAATATTTCAAACATGACGACAGACTGTTCTGCTAATGTGCACTGTAAATGCACATGTACGTGAACCTTGAAGAAGTACCATGCACTGACAAAATAACATATGTGAGAAAATAACACAGATTTATGACAAAACAAAAAAGTCCTCTGAGGCAGGTGATTATAATGGATCATGATCATGCTGAGGAAGTTTGGAGAAAGGCAAGGCAGAGCCGGAATGCATTTGGCTAGCTTTACCATTAGCAAGCTAATTCAGTGTTCATTAGCAAGCTCATGTCAGTGTCCCAAAGGCAGAAGAAGTCTTCCTCCAAAAAGTTCCAAAAGTGTTTTTATTGTCAATACATACAGCTGGGAAATTTTGGAATTGCACCAAAAACCACTGGAAGCAGAAAACTGAATGAGACCCTTGTGGTGTGCATTAGTAGTCAGAAGAAAGGAACTGATCACACCAAACTCATCCTGATGCACAACAACATAATTTTTAAAAAGTAGATACGAAGACACTGAGTGACTTGGAAAAACAGCTAGCTCATGATGTAAACTTACAAGAAACAGGTAGTTTGACTTCAGCAGGGATGATAAAACATGGGACAGAAAAGTTCTCGTTTTCTCTAATGAAAAAAAACAACAGTAAAATCTAAGAATTATTTAATCACACCATTCTGGACTGAGTTGTACACTATCGAGCAGCAAACACAAGTAATGCCTCAGTAGTGATGGGGACACTACCACACAACACGTTGATTTTTCTTTGCCCTTTGAGACACATCAGTGGGATTCCTGTACTCAGGCATAAAGTTAGCAAGTCATTCGTGGAGCAGAGGATTAATAAACCTATGATATCAGTCAGAAACTACGGCTGCAGTGGCAAGAAATATTTCAGGGAGCTTTGTCAGGGAGCGTCTGCCACCTTGTAAAGTAGTATGGTCTCTGTGAATCCCCAGAAGAAGACTGGCTTTCTATCAGCACTGCAGTAGTGTTGTCTAAGTAATACATGCCCCTTTTTCTCTAGGAATGGGCATTATCAGATCCTCTGTCCTATTGAGGTGATCCACTTCTGCCCTCAGTACTGCTGTTTTCATGACCCTTCTCCTGATGGAAAGCATTGTCTATATGTTTCCACTGAAGCAAAGAGAAACTTCCTTTTCTCCCACGTAGGCTCTGTGTTAGACAGTTTTTACTCCTGTCAGAAATAAATGTGTCTAAAAACTTTCACAGACACCAGGCTGAGCGGCACTATGGACAATATGCAGTGCAAAACAACATATCTGGCAGGAATACCTTCCCAGATTCAGTTTGCGCTGTTACTCTTACATAATGGAATAGTGGTAGGGGCATTCAACAGCAGCGTTGAAATGTCATTTATACTTCTGCTTAAAGGCAAAAATTAATTCAGTCCGTCAAAACAGTCCTTTACCGGATCGGCTCTGGCATGACAGTACAGTCAACTAAGTCACAGTTAACTTTAAACACCTTCTTGAATCTGTCCTTCCTGCTGCATATGTGCCAAATCCATAGTCTAACATAATGGTGCCAGAACGATTCCAAACTGATCAAGTATAAGAAATTGTAGCAACTATTCTCTGCTTTCAAACACTAGAGATTTTTGTTACAAACTCAATAGAGCCTTCTCAAGTTAAACACAAATGCTGTCTTAATTTTGATTTGAAACAGAGCTGTACTGTAGTACAGCAAAATCTGTGTATACAGCTCTACACTTGTTTCAACAAAGTCAAATGATATTTGCTGGATGGGAATTAAAAAAATCCTGTCTTCAAAAATCAGAAGTTAACATTATGTATTTCTTCAAGCAGCTGAACCCTAAAGTCTTGATTCTCTGCAGCTTTACCTATTTTCCTGTGTCACCTACAGTTCGCACCCCCAAAACTGCACCGCTTTGCCATAAGTCCATATTTTCTTGTTCACCTTTGCAAGTATTTCTGCATCCTGTTAGGCCAGCACGTACTTTCAGTGCAGGAGTCATTCTCATTTTCCTCCTTCTAAATCCTACACTGAATGCATATTCCCTCTTAATCTTTTTTCTTATCCCACCCCACCTCCTAAATGTAAGATAAAGGGCTTTTCTTTTTAATTATTCCATTCAGATATCTTTTGAAATGTTCGATTTTAACTATACAAAGAAAGAGGATGACAGCAGTTTCAGATAAGAATTCCACTAAGAAAAAAAAATTCTACATTGGTCTCTTAAACAAAAATCTTGAACGTTTCTTAATGACACCAGCAAAAGCAAAGGCAAAATTTCTTTAAGCTTTAAAAATAAAAATCAAAATGCATTACCAAATTAATTTTCAGTAGGAAATCACTATAGTCTTGCACTGTTATACAGAGGTCATCCGTTGGAAACTGAACAAGATGCACAGGATATACCTTTAAATTATTCATAATCACCTTAAACTGCACTCAATCAGCATTGCAATATGTCATTTTTTAGACACATGAAAGTTCAAAAGGAAAAGCACATGAAAAAGCAGACTACCAAGAGAACTATTGTTAAAACTACACCAGAAAGCTTAATATTTCAATACTGTATATGTTAAAATAAACAACATACACAGGTGATGAAAGCCAGTCTCTGAAAAATTTATTATTCTGTTAGAACAAGTTTATACTTTGGATGAATTCTCAAGCTTCATGCCATTAGGAAGTTTTACTGGGTTTACAGTGGAAATAAAAACAGAAATAAAAATAGATGACAACCCCAAAATACAGGCTGTACTTTGAATAGGATCAACAGGCGTCCTTTTCCTTTTACATCTATACATTTCCTCTTGCCTCCTGCAATCAAATTTTATGTAACCTACATGAAAAGTTCCCTAAATTGCCTATTTTCCTTTTTAAAAACATGTTTTGAAAGATAAAGTTCAATAGACTCGTAACTTGTGTTAGATCAGTATTATTTTCCCAAAGCTGTCCTATTGGAATTGCACAGCTTTCAAAGATTTATGATGTCAGTTTGATTCAAAGCATCCTGCCCCATCCCCACCCCATTCCCTCAGTAATTTTATTTTGGCTTCCAAAAAAGTTGGCTGTAATCTCATTTTCTCCTCCTATGCATGCCATCAGTACTTATTCCACTGAAGTGAAAGGGACTGGGCATCAATTCTTTGGGTAATATGGGCATTAAGGAGATATGGATGATTATTAGGATGATTAATTTTAAAGGCAGTAAAGCTTTGTCTGGTGAATTTGCACTTGACTTCGCAAAATTAAATAGTTGGAACTGGACGGGTTTGTAGAATATACTACACAAAGCAACAGGGAGTACTGATGGTTCTATATTTCACATTATATTGTAACAGGAGGAATTGTATGTATTCTTGTCAGATTCACAACTACTTGAAACTCAATTTTAAGTTCAATTTGAAGAGAAGGAATAACAGTGTTTTCATCGTTTTAAAGGATTTGAAATAGTTCCCATTGTGACTCCTGACGACCACACTGCACCTACCTGAATAGTTCAAGTTTGCCTCAGTGTTTTACACGTTGGACAATGTAACAACATTTGGCGTTTAATGTGCAGCACTACCCTTATCCTCCTAGATAGCATGTACATGCTAATCTCCTCTGGATTGAATAACTCATTTCAGTTATTAAGTTTTATGGGTTATTGCTTAATATATTGAATATCTCAAATAAAATATGGAAGTATACATTTTTTAATTACATAACAACCAACAAGAAATTACAGGTTTTTTTTTCAGAAGCATCGCATCTTAAATAAATAATATTTTAAATATAGGTATGTGGTCAACATTTAAAAAAAAACCCCAAAACCCTCAACCCCAAACCAGCAGAGTGCCAAGACTTTCCTGTGTTTTGATCTGAACAGCAGCACACTGAATGACCAGTTGTACAGAGGCAGAGAAAATATTAATTATTTTGCCATATGTTTTGGGGTTTTTTTAGTTGGGGGGGGAGGGAGGGGGGAAGAGGGAGAGTGGGTGTGGAATGTAGGTGTATATTGGTATCAAATACTTGACTTACAGTCATATTCCTATCCCAGATCTGGATGGAGCCATCTTGACAGCCAGCTGCAATAAGTTTACCATCTCTGCTGTATGTGCAAGTTGTAGGAATCACCCGTTTTCCTTGAACTGATCGTGGTTTAAATACACTTTTGTGCTTTTTTTCATTGTTAACATCCCATGTCCTCACAGTTCTGGAAAATAGATTTAAACAAATAATTGTTTCAGATAAAATTAATACAAATGAAACAACTTATGGTATAATTAAACACCTTTTCAAGCATAACTGGTAGATAATACCATTCAAATGAAGCTTTAATTGCAAAATAGCATTTAGGATATGGGATAGCAGTCATGAAACTAATGTGACAACTTTCCAAGTAAGAAACATCATATTTACTAGGACACACATGAAGGTCTGAAATTTAAAAAAAAAAAAAAATTAAAAAATTCAGTTTGTTCCAAACTGTTGTGTAAACACATACAACTATATACAACTGGACAAATGACCAAAGGTTAAAATGCAGGCACCTCAAAGTTTCCATCGTCACTGCAAATCAGGAAGATTAAAGTATTCCACCCTTTACAAGAATGAAGACTTCAGGACCAGGCATTATTTCACTAACTAAACGAATAGTCTTAATTGTTCTGACATGACAACAACTGACAAGCCTGCTTTTCACTGGCAGTATTGCAGACTGGGCTGGTTATTTTTCACAATTTTCTTTATTTTAAAAAGCCATTTTAAAGAATTAATTGCAATATTATTGTAGTTCTCTTCCACTAATCCTGAAAGTCTTAAAAGTTTTGTTGTAAAAGTGTTCTTCAAATACTTTACAAAGACTCATTTATGTAAGACTGTTTTTTTCAAGTTGAGTTTTTCCCACTTTATTAGCAAAATAAATACATCCTTTTTCTTTTTAATGGAAAAAAGAATATCTGCCTAGATCTTAGATGTTTCTTAGAGACACAAAAACATCCAAATGAGAGAGAACTAAAACACTGAAATACAGGTGGACTCTTTAAACTGTCTTAGATACAAATGTTTTCTGTCCATTTAATATGTTGAATTCTTTCCAGACAAAAATTCAAAATTCTTTTGGCATCTGAACCAGAGAGGAGTTTCAGAGTTTGGCAAAGGAAGTAAGAGCATCAATTTCAAAAGGAAAAAATCACAAAGTTCAAGACAACCTCATTTGTTTAGACTATACAAACACTGCCTATGATCCAACGACATGTAATTTACTGGTCTCAAGCAAAGAAAATAACAGTTTAACAAGGCTGCCATTTCTTCAGAACAAGACAAGACACTGTGGCAACTTCTATCAGAGCTGCAAGATCAGACAGGCACTGCTGACCTATACATAAATTCTAGGATAAAACAGGCAAGGAAATGAGCTGTAAATAGCTCATAGAAGTTTTATTTACTTGCATAGTTAATGACACTAATGAGAAATCAGTAACTCAAGTAGAACGAATCTCTAGTTGTCAAGATTAGTCTCATTTTTCAAAGTCGCAGTCACGTGCTCAGTGCCTAGATGAGCTTTCTTCGAACAGGATGGTTGCTTCCATCTTCAATAACCAACTGTCAACAACCAGCTCAGTGTCCTACCTTTCAAGAGGCACATTGACACTCTCTCCCATTCTAGTATTTACTTAAAACTTGAGTCTATTACCAGTCCCTTTTCTGTATAATATTCAATCCTTCCAGAATCTCATCTGAATATCCTGTACAGAATCACAGAATGTCAGGGGTTGGAAAGGACCTTGAAAGATTACCTAGTCCTGCCCTTCTGCCAGAGTGGGATCACCTACAGCAGGTCACACAGGAACGTGTCCAGGCGGGGTTTGAATGTCTCCAGAGAAGGAGACTCCACAACCTCCCTGGCTCTGGCATCCTCACAGTGAAAAAGTTTTATCTAATGTTTTTGTGGAATCTCCTTTGTTCCAGCTTGTACCCATTGCCCCTTGTCCTGTCATTGGACATCACTGAGAAGAGTCGGGCTCTGTCCTCCTGACACTCCCCCTTGACATATTTGTAAACATTGATGAGGTCACCCCTCAGCCTCCTCTTCTCCAAGCTAAAGAGACCCAGCTCCAGCCTCTCCTTCTCCTCTTGTGACGATCATCTCCTGCTGGGAAGCTATTTCCTCTTTGCATTGCAAGTTTTTCAGGACTGCCTTGGTGTAACTAGTAACATGGTTATGTGCAAGAAGTTTAACGCCTGCCTCCCCCTAATTTGCTTTTTTATCTAAGATGCCTCATAAGCATGTCAGCTGCAATGCCAAAAACAACCTCTGAGAATCTTTCACCACCCTAATTCTTCATTTCTACTAGCACAGACAAAGATCTCAACCAGCACCGGTCCCAATACTAACCCCTGAGGAACATCAGTTGTCACTGGGGACTGAACAGTTTGCAACCATCCAGCTAATTCCTTATCCAAGTCATCCACCCATCCAATCCACACCTCTCCAAATTAGAGACCAGGATGTCATGTGGGACAATGTCCAGTGCTTTGCACAAGTCCAGGTAGATGACAGCTGCTCTTACCTTATCCACCAACACTGCAGCCACATCACATAGGCTGAGTATCAGAATCATAGAATGGCCCAGGTTGGAATGAACCTTAGAAATCATCTAATCCAACCTCCCTGCCATGGGCAGGGATGCTTCTCAACTACACCAGGTTGCTCAAGGCCTCATCCAACCTGGCCTTGAACACCTCTAGGGAGGAGGCATCCACATGAGTATGACATAAACTAATTTGTTCTGACATTTGCCTTTCACCCCCCATGCTCCATCAATAACTACCTAAGCATCCCGTCTCCTCTTTCAGCACGTACTTTGATGCTTTTCTCTGTCTACTGTTTCCACCTGAAACGTATCTAAAGACCTTTTTCAGTCCCTTTCCCTCATACCATTTAATATTTCCTAATATTTAACTCCCTTTATTCTAGCTAGAAGGAGAGGGGATTAAAACAAAAAAATGGAAGCACAGAAACCCAAATGATTTACTTCCAGGGAATATGTCTTTAGACTGGCAATATGGCAAACAAATGTTAACTAAGTCTGCTTCTGTATTTTCTCTTCACTTCTGCTACTGACCTTCAGTCACTATATCATACTGCAGTCAACTTAGCACAATTTGGAATTATGCCTCTCATTTTTTACAGAATATTGTGTATCATTTAATGATTCTTCCTCCTCCTTAGACATAACACAAAAATAACTGTGATTGCATTATCAAAGTCCCACTTTCACTTCCTAACCTACTCTGGGTCCAATGTAGTGTTATTTGTGTTGAAATGAATAAAAAATTTCATCCTTGGACCCTACCGATCAGTTCCAGGAGACTCATTTCAAATAAGTCTCCTCCTGGGAGTATCTCCCTGGGCCTAAATAACTGTGAGATGAAAAAATAGTATTATTTTAAACTCTACGCTTCAGCATTTAGCAGAAATGTAATACTAATATTTATCTTTTGATAGGTGTAAGCAAGATATTTTTGAACTCCACTGAAAATAAAAAGAAAATATATCTTGAATGGAGCTTTCTTCCACCTGAAAACAAACAAGGTTTAATGAAAATTTGTTCTTTAGTAAAAGTGTGTGTGTGTGTGTGTGTGTGTGTGTGTGTGTGTAGGGATTTCTTTTTAAACTATCCCTCCAACTCTAAATATTGTTCTTTCACCACATCAGATTCTAATATACTGAAGGATGCACACAGCCACATAAACACTTCAAATTTCTCTTTCATAATCTTCTTAAAAAAAAAACAACCTTCGTGAAAAAGTGTCCACATACACACGTCTGAATTGAAGTTTTTAAATGGTGGATTCCACATCTGCAAAACAGATTTTGTAAAGTTCTTATATTTGCCAAGAGCAATTCAAAGCAACTAACAAAAGGATGGGAATGTTCTTTTGGAAATGTAATGTGGATATTTTCCTGACCACTGAGAAGTTAAATGACCCATAATAAACTACTATTTTAATTACTATGGTTCGGGGATGTTTTTTTTTGTTCTGTTGTGGTCTTCTCATGTTGTTTTTTTTCTCCTCGCAATTTTTTTCTTCTCTTTTCTTACAGTATTACTACCAAGTCAAATTTTCTAATAAAATTGGTTATTGACAATACTGCTGTACTACACATATTGTTAAAGGTACTTATGCACCATCATTTACCAGCCTGCAAGCACAGAAAATTTCTCCAAATCCTGATTCCACAAGCCACTGCCCCTTCTTCTACTATTCTAATACAATCTGCTGAAATTCAAGGACTGAACCAATCTGAACATTTAAAAGCCTGGCCTGTCAGATTCCTGTAAGCTTCTCTGCCTGTCCCATCTCCACTTCTACCGGACTGCAAAGCCTTTTTGCACAATATTGGTAAAAGTACAGTTCAAGCTTAATGTTGTGGATCTTGTAACTATATTACAATGCTTATCTGTGCAATATGTTACGATGCCTACCTTTGTAAAATAAGGTTGCCCAAAAAGGCTACCTCAGAAAGCTATAAAGTACTTTAAAAACACCATACAAATATGGCATGCTGCAATGAAATTTATTGGCAGGGCCCAGATTTACCATCTTATCAGTGATAGCAAACACATTTTTGAAAGTGTTAAATTAAACTTCTTTATAAAAAACTGATCTTAAAGCAAGATTGTTTTTTCTTTTTTTTAATGACATAAAACCACTTTACCTACATAGGAATGAAATTAAGTTGCTTACATAACACAATGCAAAGCAGAACATGTAAAGAGAACAGATATATACGAAATAATTGAAAAGTTCTGTAAAGATGCAGTTAGTGCATATGGTGGTATAAGACTATGTCAGCAAGAAAACTTTTATTATTGTATTCTCTTTGCCCTCTTTCAGTAGAATTAAATTATAGCTGCCTTCTGTGGAGCACAGTGAACTCAATGATGGTTGAATCACCTGCCAGATATTGAAAAAATTTGTACACACAAACGGATGGAGAAATCTAAGAGAAAATTTCCATACTTGCTTGGCAGAAAGACTTCTAAATAAGCTACCTACTGCCAGCATCTGAACAAAGTTAAAATAATTTAAACCAGAATACAAGAAAAGTCACATCCAACATAAAATCATAGCTATGTAAAGAACTGCCAAAAAATTGACATAACTAAATAATTTATAACAATTCTCCAGCTTCTCTGTAACTTA